AATGTTTACAGTGAGATAACTTAGTCATTCTGATCATTGCAGCCTTTTATCACTGGTTTTCCGCGAGTTATTCTCAAATTAGTGGTTTAATAAGTATTGTTTAGTACTTACAAGATTCTGGCGTCATAAAATTCTCTTTCTAGTCTGTGTCTTTCTCTTCTCCGAAAAAGTTTGCAAAGGCGAAATGTCGGAGCTCCGGAAAAACATCTATGAAAAGTCGAAATTTAATGTTAAAAATCTGCGGTTTACGGTGATCGATAGAAAATTGAATTCTGCATAACAAAACATAAAACAGAAGTGTCATGTACGAAATGAAATATAAGAACAAAAGGAACGGAAGTTAATGCGTTTGCAGGAGATCTAACAGCGGTGGAAATTAGTATCTTCCGTAATAAGTTTTGAGTAATCTGATTTTTGTTGAAGAATTTTTCTATCTAAATCGCATCCACTCCAAAAAATCACTCCAATTTTGCTAATGTCACTGATGGTAATAACAACGTTTGAACAGTTTTTGATGTTGCAGTTGTTATTTCAATTCGTATTGCGTACAATCTATATCCATTTTCTGGGTCAAACAGGGCTAGTACATTTCCATATTGCTTTACGATGGGGATTTCATTAACATTCTTTTCTCTAGCATCCGATTGTAATGATTGTACTCTTTCGTTACTTAAATACCAAATTTGTCTACTACAGCCGACATAGTTGCCATAACGAATATTTGCATTTCCATTGTTAGCGATATACATAGAAATAAATGTACGCTTATCTGTTTCACAATCATCGGCATAAATAAATGCAATCATTTCTCGAAGTCCATTATAACTATCTTTTTCCGTCCAGTGAGATATACAATTTTCTTTTGTTGGTAATTCAAACGGTATATTTTGGTGTTCAACAATTAAACTACATTCTTTATTATCTTATCTTCCACTATTATTTTCAGTTTCAGCGGTTGTGGTAAACTTTTGTGTGCTCTTTCTGGTCGAATGCCTGATTTACCATTTATTTCATTATCTAACCGAACAGCAAAACCGATCAATGTATGCGCTGCTAAATTAACGATCGCATCACCATTCCATTTGTATTTATCATTGTTGTTGGACCAATTTTAACATCTTTACATTGTTTCAATGAATGATCGTGATCTTCATATTCACCTCTCAGTTTAATAATAGACACTGGTTTATCACTGGTATTTGAAAATGTTATTTTTGGTACACGTTTCTTCGCTTTCTTAAAATTCTGTACCGCGTTTATACTTAAATTATTTAGGGTTTTCACTAAATAGACCTGGTATTTTGCAACAAATGTACTGTCACACACAGGTATTTTGATCTATACAGGTATGCTTGTTTTTTCTTTTGTTCTTCGTCTCCCTCTATTCAAAACGTCAGACAGTGAGACAAAACAAAACTCATACATTTTTCATAACATTTGAAGTGTACATATGAGATTAAAGACTAGATTTTCGCAATTAAATTTCCATCTAAACAAAGAAATTTAGTCGAGTCTTGATATTGATAAATCTTAGAATACAAGAGAACATGGGTAGATTTGTTTTTCCTTTTTAATTTCACTTATTTTTAATGATGTAGACTTTCAAGGTCTGGTTAATGGAAGTCGTCAAAAATAAGTCTAGGCGTAGATATACATCAATACCATTCTCTTTTCTTTTTCTTTCTCTGGTTTTGCTGTATGAAACAAATTGGATACATTTCTATGTACAGAATAGAAGAAATGTTCATTTTTTATTATCCGTTACACAATCTAAATCTGAACTCTATTCTTGCTGTTTAGAAATATAAGTTACACATCGATATATATTAATATATCCGTTTTCAAATAAAATAATCTAAAAGAACGTTTACGTTTCAATGAACGAAACGAAAAAAAAATAAATTCTCTAGTTCAGCGTATATTTAGTTTTCTATGTTTTTCTCTCTCACTGTGAATTTAATACATAATCCGTCCACTTGATCAATTAATGCCGCATTAAGCTCAGAGTACTTCCGTGCCTCTTCTACTCTAACTTCGAGTGCACAAGTTACACAATATGCTCAGCTGTTTTTGAGAAAAAGATCGCTTGAATTTGTAGAGATATTGTATCGTCTTGTTTTCAACTTTTCAACCTGTTCTAGGGGTTTTAAAACAAAGTTGTTTAGCTCAGTTTGTAGAAAATTGAACTTCCTTTATGATGTCACATTGGTATTTCTAGGGAAATTCTGTTTGGATGCCCAAAAGTGAATTTTGGAAGCAAAACTTTGTATGCGAAAGTCATAATCCTTCACTTGATGAACTTCTTACAACATCAGTAATGAATTTAGAAAAAGAGAAGACATTTGATTTTGTTTAATTTTTGATGATCCTTCGAATGCGACGTTGCTCGACCAGAACGGATAAAAAATGACGGAGTTATACCTAAAATATGAGACAGTGCTTATTTTTTATGATTCTTCGATGCACCTCATTTTGAAAACTCTGTGACTCGGTCCAAATAAAGTCTGGAAGTGAACAATTTTTTTCGTCACCCTAGTTTTGATGGTAGCATCTGTAAATCAAATAAAAATCATTTGTCAAATGTTTGCATGTTACACACTTTCTCGATTGGCATTTAGCAGACAAATAGTAAAATATCTGACCTTTTAAAGATATCTGTTAAAAAAACGAATACATTGAAAGTATATGTATGCTAATGTCTGTATGTATGTATCCATAATACAATCAAAGGAACCGAAATTCAATAAAATAAATTAGAATTTAAATGTTGACATGCTTCTAGTCAACATAAAGAATTACTAAATAAGAAACGAAGTCTAATAAGGACAAAATAATAATAATAAAAGTATTACTAATAAAAATAATAAAAGTAAAATAATAATAATAATAATAATAAAAGTGTTACTAATTATTAGGTTTGTAGTTATATTTAATATATACGAGTGAATTTCATTGGCATTGTATCATTTCGAAAAAAGAAACGGAAAAAAACAATTTGCGAATAAAAAAATTCTGAATCATATATTAGATAGTACCACTTTCGACGTTTACAGAAAAAAATTCCTAGCACTTGGTCGTATATTGGCTGAGAAATTTGATTTTTCCTAAAGGGGGTATTTCCTAAGAGCTATACGGTCTCTGAGTATTGTCGGTAAATAGACTTAAAAGAATGGACTCGGATCTTTTTTGAATAACATTTGATAGAAAGTAGCCAGAGAGCTTCGCTCTTCGCCATGCGAAAGAAGAGGCTTGCTGACATGTTTTCACAAGCATAAACGTTTCCGAAAGTATTTTCTGAAACAGGCTTCTTAGGAGATCTTTGAAAACCCAGGCCGCGAGTAAAAATTTTTCAGTAGGATTGTATTTATTTTCTTCCATGCTATGATAGGCCAAGGCATCCTCTTCAAAATGAGAGTCAAGCGAGACCTTGATTTTCCACGGCTCGGGCGTTGTATCGGATTTCCTGAGCATATCTGTGAATGGGTTTTCCACAAACCCTTTTGGAAAACCTTATAGTTTTGAAAATTTTCTTTTGAGATCTTCTATAAATAAAATATAGAATAGCTTAAATACTTTGAATTCTGAATTACTCTGAAAAATTCTGAAGTCTTGAACTCGCTCTGATGTTTATTGAGTGAATAGTGAATCTTTTAATGGAAGGTGAAAACAGCCTGGAAACTCCACTTTTTGTAAAACTGGCTTTTCGGTAGACTTTTAGAACTTTTTCTAAAAATAAATAGTGGTACAAGACTCAGCATGATCGATTACCTATAGTCCATCCGTTTTCAAGGCTACCAAGTGTCACCGGATGCCAGTCCTGGGACTCGCAGAAAATCTTACACAATACCCGAACAGCGAAAACATTTTGCGCAACGGATATGCTTCCAAAAGGGTTTCAATCCAGTCAGATAGATAGCCCTGACATCAAGAAATCTATTGATGTATGATCAGTGTCAGTTATATGCAGTTTTGATCAAGCTACAAACAGAATAAATCTCGCAGGACACTTTTGATGTAAACTGCGCTTTTCTCAGGAACGAAGTTTTTCTGAAAGCTCGTTTTATTATCACATACTAATCGTCCAAGAAGGAAAAAAGGGTAGAATTCTATCCTCAAATGGATCACTCATCAATGAGTTACGCACAAAACAATTTTTTAAATCTCGTGGGACATTTGTGTGAAAACAACATTGTGTAGCATATAAAACGCGGTTTTTATTGGGATATAAAAACGTAGAAAAAACCCTTTTTTAGCAAAATCTAGAGCTAATCTTCCTCTATTTTTTTGCCTAAATTTAAATTTTTTTTTAATCAATTGTGTCTTATGGAGACCGTCTTGAAGTCTCGCAGGACAAAATTTTGACAAGTGTCTGTAGCAGCAGTTTTTCCTCGAGCTTTTATGAAAAACATAATTTTACTTGAAATCAAAGTACAAAATCTGACAGCCCTGTTTTCGGGCTACGAGTTCTATTAAAGTATAATTCAGTAATCTTTATATAGCATGGAGAAAAACTCCCATTTCTTTCGATACGTGGCGCCAAAATCACTTTGCTTTGGAATTGTTTCGTTCATATCTCGACAACCAAATGAAATAGAAACTTTCATTTTTCAGTGCTGAATAATCATCTTTAAACAAATCTATCATAAAATAAATGTTACGTTTTGTTCAGTAGAACGACTTTTACAAGCAAAACCATCCGTGAACAGCAACGGTAATATGTAATACATACACATGCAATGAATGATCTTTCGAAATAAGAAACCCCAAGTTCTTGACGAAAAACGATAAAGCTCTCTCGAAGAAACATCAAGTTCTTCAGAAAAAAGTTGAAGTTCGCTTGAAGTAACACCAAGTTCTTGATGTAAAAAGTTGAAGTTCTCGTGGAGCCACACATTAGATTTTCTTCGCGAGAACTCCTCAATAACTTGGTGTTTTTTTAAGAGAGCTTTATCTTTTTTATTCAAGAAGTTATGGTTTCTTCGAGAGTACTTCATCTTTTTTCCTGAAGAACTTGGTGTGTCTCCAGGAGAACTTGTACTTTTTACATCAAGAACTTGGGGTTCTTCGCGGCAACTTCATCTATTTTCCTGAAGAACTTGGGGTTCTTCGAGCCTACTTCATCTTTTTAAATCAAGAACTTGGGATTCTTCACGGCAACGTCATCTTTTTTCCTGAAGAACTTGGTGTGTCTCCAGGAGAACTTGTGCTTTCTACATCAAGAACTTGGGGTTCGTCACGGCAACTTCATCTATTTTCCTGAAGAACTTGGGGTTTCTTCAAGACATCTACATCTTAATTCATCAGGTACTTCATCTTTTTCGCGCGAGGAAATCCCAACTTTTTGAGCAAGAAAACATGAATTTCTCGTGAAGAAACACCAAGTTCTTGAGGAAAAAAGACGAAGTTCTCGTTAAGATACCCTAAGTTCAAAAAAGTTTTTGGTTTTGGGTTTAATCCGCGCCGTAGCAGAGGTTCTCTTTAATTCGGAAGGAAAGTATTTATTCAGCTTTGAGACAATGGGAAAGAGTAGAAATAACTGTATAGAAAAAGAAAGCAGGTTGAATTTTGTTTATCGATGATTATACATTACTCTGTGCACGTCTTTTACTTATTCGAAACATGCAGGTATGTGATTAAGATATGCTTCACTAAATTTACCAGTTGCGATTAATCTATCTTCATTTGAAACGCACACAATCGCTCGTTGCCTGTATAAGAGAAACACATTGGCCTGTTGTGATGGCAAATGTTATTCTACACACTGTTTTCTTTGCTGGCGTCGGGCTAGTGCTTGTAGTGAATGCACAACGAGGAAGCGGCAGCAGTAGCAGTGGAAATGGCGGCAGCAGTAGTCATAGTGGAGGTGGCTATCACTATTCCTCTAATTCCTACAATAACTATGGCACCAGGTCAATGGGTTGTGGTAACCGAGCGAAAAGTCAATGTGTCAAATTATATTTGATTATTTTCGGAAGCATCTTTGGAGCGATACTGTTGATTTGCTGCCCATGTTGCTTGTGTTACTGGTATTACAAACGTAGACCACTATCGACACATGCACAATTTGTTTCAGCCGGCGACCGTAAAAAGTTCGCTTCACAAATGTATCATGGACAAAAGACGTCCACCTTTTCTTCTGTTACTGGAAGGGCAGGTCATACAAACTGCATTGTTTGTATCCGCAACGAGCTCACGACCAGTTACTTCCACTTAGATTGTACCTGCAGCTAGCTTAATGAATCTGTTGGTGCATCTGGCGAAAGTCGATGCAGCCAGATTCATTTGATAGATGCACTAGTAGATCCAGCTAGATGCATGAAGCTAGCTGCATCGACTGTCACTAGATTCACAGTTATTTTTTTAATCTTTAAAAATTACCATCGTCTGTTGGTCGATGCATCTGGCAGTTCATCGTCCACATCTAGCTGCATCGAGCGATGCTCCATTCAGCTTTTCTCTCTTTCCTATGCAGCTAGCTGCATCCACTAGTGTGTCTATTACATAGGAAAATATAAAGATATGATGATGATCAACAGATACAGGCTCGCTAAATAAATACACTAGTAGATTATGGCCGTAAATTTGTTTCTAAAAGAAGAAAAAGAACTCAAAAAGGATCGAGAATCCTTTTCAGTGACTGAATTACCGTAAGGTAATCGTTATCACATATGATAATAACCTCATGCTTGGACTTGTGTAGAATGTGTATCCGAGAGATACTGACGCTCAAACCATTCGGATTAATAATACGGTCCAGCCAGAATGTCGTTGTAGACCTGTACTTTCTATATCTACCGTACTGACCGAGTATGGCTGTATTGCTAATAAACTGTTGATCTCAATAATCGAGAGAAAGTAGTTCCTACTCTTACATAACGTTTCTGATATTAGAAGAAGAAAAGAACCACAAACCACCAGAGAATAGCGAAATTATAACACCGAGGCTGTCACTCATCTCTATTCTCGCACAAACTTCTATATATTCTGATATTCGTTTGAGATTGTGCAATAATCCATAGTGATAAAACATGGATTATCCTGTCATTGGTAATTTTTAGCGGTATTAGAAGAATTTGTAGGTAGTTTTGATATCCGAAAACAGTATAGAAATGCAATACTCGGTACAAAATAATGTGAAAACGACACTTTCTTCTGCTCATCGCATTCTGTACCCCACACCTTTTCCAGTAACAGACAAGGGCAATCGAAAATGAACGTTACTTGTGTTAGACATCCGCCAAATTCGGTTCACTAGTTTTACAGTGCATCTTCTCCCCTTTCCGCATGCGTTCTTAATGTATATCTCAAACACCAACCGCTGCTTTCTTCCAATACTACTGCACCCGCATCTCCTATATTTCAGTCCGGCCTTTGGCAAGGTCAATATTATGAAGATCATCAGTGGAATTTGGTTCCTGCTCACCAAGTTAATTTTGACCATTCGGCTCAAACTGTAGTCGGACAAGGGGAAGACCAGGTTGGGAAATTCACACTCAATGGGTTGTTTAACGTACAAACGGGGAGACTAGCATTGACAAAACAATATGAGCTGTTCACAGGACCGAATCCAAAAGATAACCTTGGACACAGTGTCGAGCTACGTTTGCAGTGGAATCCACCAACACAGTCGTTTGACGGAAAGTATTATGTAAACACCGTAGAACTGAAAGCTGAAAACGAGTACAAAATGAAATTAGCAACATTGGAACAGGTACAAGTTCAGATGCCAACGCCACCACGGTATTCAGCAATCATGACGGATGGGAACGGGATACCGAATTATGAAGCAACGAAAAACTGACACTTAATACTACTATCGATTTCAAAAAGAGTGGAGTCAGATAGAATCGTAATAATTTTTGGTAGAAAAGAGCTAAAGAGCTACGATTTTCAGCTTTTGAAAGTAAAACGTTGGGGCTTTAAACTTACGTTGAAATAAAAGAAAAACGCTATCACCAGATGGTATACCACTTTGGGACATTTTGCAAAAAGTTCCGTAAACAGTAATTTCCGTATTCATCCGTGACACAGTCAATCGCGCATGTAAAAAGAACTGATAAAATCGATTTTTGGATAATATTTCTGCGAAATTTATCTTCCCGAAAAACAAAGACAAATTTTTGCCTGTGGTGTCCTTCTTTCCCTTCAAAACCTTCGAACGGCCTTTTATCTTCGTCTAAACTGAATTTGTGCAGGACATACATAAGATTTCCGGAAGTGGAAAGTTCTGCATCAATTTATTTTTGATTTATTCATAGCAGTCTAACGATTTTTCTGCGTATATAGATAGCCCAAAGTGTTATCTACAAAATAAGATCCAAACAAAAGTTTGACTTTGTTTGGTCCGGACGCTTTGGACCTTCCCCGAAGTCCTTGGACTACTTAGGAAACCGGTTTCACAAGTTTTTTCAAAAAATGTTTCTGTCTATATAAATATAGCCTAAACTGTCCTCTTTTTTGACTGACGAAAACCGCAAGTCTCTATCTTTTACCGGCTTTGAGTTATTCAAAGAATAACAGCCTGCCTTATATTTTGGCGCCGACAACAGTAACCCGAGATTCCAAAAAACCGGGTTACAGTAATTCCTTACGGGTAAGTTTCTGAAAAAGTGAATACACGGTTCTGTAGCGCTTGAAAATCTTTGTCGAACGAGCTATTACTTCACGGTTTCCAACAAATCGTTAATTTAGAAATAAAAGCGTAAGCTACCAGAGTAATACTCAGTACTAATCAGTTATAAATTAATACCAGGAAATAAGTTTTTTTCAATTTTTTTCATGAAACTATAACTATAGATCATTGGCTACCAAACTACGGTAAAAAAGACGTTTCTGCGACTGTGTTTGAGCGAGCTGTAAGTTTTTTAAAAATAGGCCTAGCAATTCAATTTTTTGCTAGAATTTTATCTTAATTAATTTATAACTCCGTGAATGCTTAGCGTCTCTTCGAAATAACTTCAGGATATATGCAGTCAAGTGTTCTCTACAATCTGAGAAGGTTTAACAGTACCTTTTATGGAGATCCGCTCCCCCTTAAGTGAGAGACGAAGATATTTTCGTTTGTTACATTTTCATAAAATTATAACAGGAAAAAGCGCTCTTTCAAGATTTAACATGATCACACTTCTAACTAGCAGAACGTCGGATAGGCTGAATAATGGGTGCCAATGGACTATCCCTAAGACAAGCTTAGAAGCAACCAAACACTCTTTTCTTTCCCGTACATGTACGGAGTGAACCTCTTGCCACGATCTGTCATACCCCAATTTGCCATAGGAGCCTTTAGGCGAAGGCTTAGACTGTATTTAAATATGTAGTTTTACAGCGGTAATTAGAAAATGTAATTCTCTGTTTAAAATCTGTTTTATTTTTTCCTGAAGTTCAACAATATCAAAATTGCGAAAGAATTTTGACAATATTGTCAAATGTCCCCTAGGATTTCAAGAATGAAAATTATATAATCCCGATCATCGTATTTTTATTTGTATTGTCTAAAGTCCATGTGAAAGTTGGATGATACATTCGTGTTAGTTGCAACTGTAATGGATCAACTACATCTCAGTCTATCGAATTGTTGGATTCTGAATAAGAAAAATTGTTTTCTTTTTCATAACGAGTTTAGACGCAATGAATTATTCGAATATCACGTAATAAGATTTAAAACACTTCAGTTTCTTATAAATATTTTTTACTCGTGACAGTTAGTGCGCAGAGAATATAGTACAAAAAGGAAGAAAGTTTGGAAAAATCAGTACTTTTGTTTTATTTAAGCAATCCATTTATGTACTTGAAGCCTTTACATATTCTTCTTATGGGCGTTTACACATCAGCTTCTATGGAAACTGTATTAATATAAACAATACGGGAAAAAGAGTTGTATGAAAGTATTTTTATAACGATATTCAAATATAAACCCGAAAGAAGTGTACCCAATGTCGTTAGTCTCCCAGAATGTTAGATATACATTGACATGTGCATAGATACAATTTTCTATGAATAAGCGAACTAGAAATTCTCTTCTTTATTCATGATCTCTCTTATTTTTCTTTTTTATAATCACAAAAACAGTGAAAAGTTGTTTTTCTAACAAAATATTGATGTTGTTTGTGTTTGACTTTCTTTTGTAAACTCAGTCTTTGTGTTTTTTTTCTCTGCACGTTTGGCAAGTTATCATTGTGACGGTACTCGAATGAGAAAGACAAACATTGTGTCCACAACTATTACATGTTTGTCGAACTTTTCGACCGGGTTGCGCTGGACACGAATAACATCTTCTCTTTGCCCCCATTCGAATGAATATTGACATCGAGACTTTTCAACGTCAAATTTTTCGACCAAAAATGAGTCATAGTACATACATTTGGAGAAACAATAAAGAAGACAACAGATGGCGACCATAGTAAGAGAAAAATTATGTCTATAACACCGTGGATGTTGTAGGGTCCACCTATACCTGCATTTTTTCCTGTTTAGATTTAAACATAATTTCTTGTGTGCATATTATGCAGCTACTCAAGACTAGAGATTACAGAATAGAATTGATCTGACACACTGAATGGTAATGCTCTATTAGACGCAAAACTGTCAGATGGGTCCAGTTGGACCCCACTTTATCGTCGAAAGGTTAAGAACTGGTGAAGCACATCGTCTAACGTAGTTTTTGCAGCTGATTTCGAATATCAACCTAAAATTTCCAAAAAATGAAATTTTGACCTCAGAATTTGAAATCGAAATTTTATTCTTCATTTCCTGACCTAGATATTCTCGCGAAAAAGATTAAGAGATATGGCATTTTGTAGAGAATTAAATTCTCTATTAAATTCTCTCTCGCAGAAAGCCAGGCTTCATTTCTAGCTTGACAAGAACATGATTCTGACTGATTTAATTCGTCTCTACATGCTCTCGTTTCTTGTAGCATCAACAACCATTACAACATATCCATCACCCAGTAGCCCAGGTAAGTACGTTTCTCTACGTTGCAGACGGCAGGATAATCGCAAATGTGCCACATCTGGTGGATGATATATATTTGATACAGTAGACCTCCTGACCATATTCTAAACTTCTTCCCGAACAGAGAGACACTTCGATTCCTTTTTCTCTTGTGCGGAACCCGATATTAGTATTATATGGGGCACGCTTGTGGACGGAGTGGTGTGACAATTGCGCGAGTAATATATTTTTTCCGCCGTTGATGACTATCTAGACTGATGGCGTAGTTTTTAATTTGGGACGGGAAACTGATGATGGTATAGCGAGGATGGACTTTTCATTTTGCATAAGGCACTGTAAGGTTTATGGTGGATGATGCTTTTCTGCACTTTTCTCTAAAAAATGAACTTTTTTGAGGGTTTTTTGTTCGTTCCTCTTTGAAAGATCTGAAAGGATAATATCTATATGCACAAGAAAAAGGGGATTGACGGGGGGTATCAGTTTTTGGAGAACGTTATGAATTTCTCTCTCAATTGCTTCTGTCTCGAGGTTTTGGGTTAAAATCATACTCTGGGTTAAAGTCAACTTTGTTTGCCGTAAGGTGTTATTCCAGCGCTCCATAATGGGAAAAACTGCAGGACAGTCGGTTGGTGAGTGTGTTTTTAGTGTAATGTCGAAAGCATTCAAAGATGGTGGCGGAGCCTTAAAAAATTGAGTCGGGCTTCGAGTTTTGCTAACTGCGTTTTTAATTCGTCACGTCTTTCTGTCAAGTCGAGTATTAGTCGAATATTCTCATCTTCTGTCCGAGGGATCGTCATCAAGAGGCCACGGTGTTTTTTCATCGCGTGATCTAGTACTAGGTTGCTAAGACGTTTCTCATTGGCAGTGCGTAGAGACTCTAGAAAAGGATCAATGATTTTTGTTTGCCAGGTGTCTAGAATAGTTATTAAACCATCTACTTTTTCTTGCGGTGGCGGTTCTTCAAAGATTAGGTCTTTGGCTGTGGCAGCAAGAGAGAGTGTGAGCGTGTGCGATAGCATGCGGAAAACGTCGAACATTTTGTTGTACTCTGTTTTTAGATTCTGAAGGTCGAATGGGATGTTTTCTTTCGTGAAGTGATTGAAAACTTCTGTAGCAAGCACTGGAAAGCGTCCTGGGAATGGATCCTCAATAGAAGTTTTCGGTATGTCTTCATCTCTCTCCATATCAATCAGATTAGGCGTTTGCGGTTCGGGTTCACATTCAGATTCTTCAGGGTTTTCAGCGTTGACATATTCATACCAGCGACCAAGTTTCAGAGAGAAGTGCTCTTTTAGAAAACGGAGTTTTTGGAGGTGAAACAGAGTGGTGGGATCGACTACCTCTAATGGTGGAGGTATGTTGATAAGTACGGTTTCGGGCAGAAAATTGTGCGGAAGCAGAGAAGTAGTATTCTCGGGATATGCGTCTAGAAAAGGGTCTTCTTCTACGCCAGTGGGTGTATATGTGCGAAAAAAGTTATGAAAGGTTCAGAGAATGAGCTGGCGTCCTTCGAAGTTGGTATAGAGACCGTCGGCTAGCATTCGTTTGTCAAGATCAAAGGACAGCGTTTTAAAATTTAGCGATGTTGCTAGGTTCTCTAGTTTTTGATTGTATGCTTGGATTTCCTCGTGTAAAATCTTTTGCGAAAAATTGTGAAAATGAGTGTTTTTTGTTCTGTGCATGATCTTGACGAACGAGATGCTACCTATTGTTGGGTAATACCGGCGCAAAGTAGTCACAAGCTCACTTACCCATTTTATGACGTTGTTGGCGAGGTTCCATGCAATGTCGTTGGTGCCGATGACGAATGTGACACTTTCAGATTGGGCTAGGAGGTATCGGAGCTGGCCACTGGTAATCTGTTGAATGTAATCGCGTATTCCAAAGCCAGAGTTAGATTTTATGCAGACGTTGACGGTGCTGTTGTTAAATTGAGACAGTCGGAAACAGGACATTGTTGAATCGGATAACATGACGTGATTCGGTCTTGTAGCTGTCTTTTGTTGTTGGTATTGTTCTGATGCATAACCTTGTTGTCTTGGTTCGTCAGCCAGATGGATCAATGGATAAGCGACATGTTGTTGTGCATTCTGTGGCTGTGCGTATGGCTTCGTTTGTTTTGACATCGTGGTTGCGCCCCGTAGCTGTGGTCGCGGAGCTATGAAATTCTCCTGCTCTGTATCTGTTGTCGGTGATACTGCATAGTGATGGCCCTGCTGCTTATCTAAAAAAAAGTTGAATCTATTTTTTGTACGTGTGTACTCACTTTGTTACTGCGCTCGAAAAGGTTTGATTTGCATGAGTGATACTGGAGTTGACCGTAATGGGTTGATTTTAGGTTAACGTGGCGGGATAGTTCGTGGCGGTGGTGGAATGTAGCTGCCAATATTTGTATATGAGTTGAAGTTCGATGTGGTGCCATTTTGAAACCGCTGTTGCTTGCCTTTATACGCTGGTCGGGTTTGTTCGACTGATGGTGACGATCTCCAGTTTTTTGCTGGCATCATCCACACTGATGGCTTACAAACTTGTGCCGTGGTTGTCTGTAATTGTTGCTGCTGTGCCGGTGGTTGTGGAGGCGGTACTAACGGAGCCAATGTCCTTGTGCTAGTTGTTATTGCTTGTAAGATTTTGCTAGTCGTGCGTGGCGGAAGAGCCGCTGCTGGCGCGAGTGAAATGGTGGATTAAGTGGTGCCACGTGGTGGTGACGTACTTGTGACGATACGTGGTACTACTGGAACTAGTACTTTCGGCACAATCGGTGACGAGGCAACTATCGGCGCGAAGTGCCGATGCGATGGTGGTGGTGAGGTTGGATGTGGTGTGCCTATGCGAGGCCGTTTTGCAGCGGGAAATTCTTCTAGTTTCCCAATTGTTTGACGAACGCGACGTAAGATTTCTCGTCGAGGAGACCCTTGTTGCTTGTATTGTGACTGGCGACTGGTTGGTGGTGATGGCGGGCAAACGATGGCTGGTCCTGTTGCGTGCGTGAAGAGTGAATGTGGTGCCGTTGTACCAAAAGCTTGTGTTGCTGGTTGCGCGATTTGAGGACGGGTTGTAAGATCAGGATTATCTGCTGGATTCAGGGATCCGCTTACTACCGCTGTAATTTCAACAGGTACTTTACTCCAACAGGTATCTTTGTGATGGATCAACTGTGACAAAACAGCACTTGCGCTGATCTTTCTTGGTGCTAATACTCCCTTGTTCCTTGCAGTTATAACGGAATGTGAGGATAGTGATTAGTACGCTTGTTTTTTTTTCATTCGATTCATCCACGCATTTCTTAGCACATGTGTTGTGTTTTCTATAGCAGCTAATGAACGAGAAGAAGACGATACATTTTATCATCTTATCATATGCATGGGATAACTCTTTCTTGCTTCTCCATGCGAACATTTATGTGTACTCAGTGGAAAAGAGAATTTACTCTCAATAGGAAATATTTTTTATGAATTTTGCAAGACTGATTAGCAATGAGTACAACCTGCTTTGTGTTGGCTGTTTTGATGCTAATCGCACTAAATCGGAACTATCAAAACACGCATTAGAATGTTTATTAATATATTGTCATACGGATACAAAATCAATCCAATGTTGTTATTTATAGAAATACTAGCAGATGTCCAGTTAATGTGCTTAAAAAGTTTTGAGAACTCCTAAATGCCATATCAGGATATACTTCAAATGTATTGAAACAACACTGTATCGGATATTATCTAGATAGAAAAATTATCTGATCCGTTGTCACACTCCTATATGTCGCCATGAAAATTATAGCGCGATACGTGCCGATAAATAAGTGACCGCGATGCACCGCAACAGATTGGTATTGAGATATATCTGTATAGTACTTGATGTTCGAAAGCATAGCGCTAAAAAATCTATCATATCCGTTGTCACACTGAAATGTATCGGTGAGGTGTCGATATAATCGGATACATCTGTCTAAAACCAGCATCGGCGGATATCGCCCTGTAATGTTTATCCCGACATATCGCAGTGTGACAACGGATACGATAAGTTTTTTCTCGTGGAGAAGACGCTTTTTTCTATCGGAAAAGTCCTCATGCGTAAAGCTAATTGAAAATGAAAGCAAACAGATTATGCAATATGTTTCGGCTTTGTGAGAAGAAAATAGTTGTGTATCACTGTTAACGGAGTTTTTCTATGTGGTCTTCTTTTCTTCAGTGGTTTCTATTCTGATATCTTTTTAAAAAATTCAAAATTGAGGAAGAAAAAAGACATCAAATGAATAGAATCTTCTGAATTCGAAATGTGCAAGGTATCTATACACGATGAACAGCGAGAGAGAGAAAAGGAAAATACAAGTTAAAATAATTATTGATGACACGACAGACGATGATAGAAAGATAGATGACAGAGATCTAGAAAAGGGAAAAATGCACATACCAAGTAGAGAACTACTGATCAACTTACATTCTCATTCTTTTTTCCGCGCGGAGCGCAACGAATTTTTGTTTTCTCAACTTTTTTTGAAGTAATTTTTAAATACTTTTCCGATTCCTTCCTAATTACTAATACCACCATTACAGTGTTCCAGCGGAGGAAAATTTCGCCGCCTCCGGACTTATTAGATAGTACCGATGAGGATGATGGTAACAGTATAAAAATGAGTTCACAACCATCACCAGAAACAACGATTATTCGACAAAACCGTAATACAGCTAACACAACTGTATTAGAGCAGCGAACACTTACAACAGTATCTCAGTCTACGTTGAATGATTCAGCAGAAGGTGATGATGAGGCTTTTCATGTTGTACATCACCAGCGTCGTCGATTACAGTCGAGAGAAGCGCAAAATGAGCAGTTTTTTGATGCAACAACTTCACCATCTTTACCTACATCTGTTTCCAAGATTTCAAAGGAAGCAGAACGTTTCAGTTGTGAATTCAGATTTCCGCCGGTGAAAATTTCATTTTCTAATATAAACGTTTTGTTTACTGATCAGATCACTAGACAGTTTATTGTTGAATTAAAACGACGAAATATTAGAACTCCTAACTTGGTTTCATTTTGGCGAATTGATAGTACAAAGAAATATTTATTTGTTTATGGTGATAACCGTGAAGCATTCTCACAGTTAATTATGAATGACACATATCCAAGTAGTATTTATGATCAACAATTTAATATTGAACAGCCTAAGAGTATACCTTCACAGATGAGTGTTTTAGCTATGGGAGTTTCTTGTCAGCTATCAGAAGTAGAAGTACTAGCTGATGTTCAGGAGCAGTATGCCTCTGGGGATGTCGTCCTTTTCGGCTGTCCTGCATCTAACCGAACACGAAATGTTAAGGTCAACTTCCGTGACAGTCGTGATTACACAAAATGTCTGAATAATGGGTTCATTTATGTTAATCATTTGAAGCCAATAATGAAACGCTATTTGGGTACGCCAAGGGTCATGCTATGCTCAAAATACCAGGGATATGGGCACTTCCGAGCTAAATGTACAAGTGCTCATGAATACTGTGCTGTCTGTTCTGCAGAAAGATCTCTTGATTCACCACATGTGTGTACCAATGTTACTAAGTGCAGAAATTGCGGCGGTGATCATTCTTATGCATATTCTCAGTGCACGGCATTGTTACAGTATAGAAGAGAATTAATTGAACAGCTGTTGGAAAAAGATATGATCCCTAATCATGTACACATACCTAAAGCATTTAGAAGTCGTCTGGAAAGAGTTTTTCCTCTTACACCTGCACAAAATCGTGTTACATCTAATGTTAAACAACAGGTTAATCGTAAAGTATCACCAATGAAGTCCTCATCTGTTAGACAGGCACAGTTATTAACGTATACTAATGTTCTCAATGGAACCAATAGTGGCGAAGATTCACCAATTAGGAGTTGTAATGTTAAAAACCACATGCAGCATTATCAGCAACAGTTATCGGACATTAATAAAGCTCATGTTGATACAATGTTGAATCTTAGTAATCAAATTAACATGTTAAGTGTAAAAGTCGACTGTGTATCATCGAAAGTAGAACAAATGAACCATTTAGTTAGCAAAGTTGTAATTCCATGTGTATCTACATTAGCTCATTCGTTAGTTAAATTGAACGAAAAACTATCTTGTATGGAAGGTAAACCTGACAGACAGACAGTTTCTCTTTTAGGTATAGAGGCTGAAGCAGAAAGTGAGAAAGTGAGAAGAATGACAAAATGTTTAGAAGAAGCAGTAACTGTGACTGAAACTAGTTTTTTCAAAGTTCAAGGATTTTTTCAAGTTTAATGTCAAATGTCCTTTTCCTTCAGCACTGCCGACTACTAACGTTATTTCGACTTCTTTATCCTTCCCAACATGAATTTTAACCCTTTAGCTCCATCTTTTGTTTTTTTCGAGCCTTGTATAGATTTAAATGCTGTGACGTCTAATCTCGAACAGTTGTGTGATCTCGATCGAGAGCTTTTGAAGTTGCTAGTTCACGAGTGGAATTCTAAACGTTCTATTTCAAGGTTGTCAAATTTTTGGAAGGATAAAGAAGTCGAAATAACG